GAGAGAGAGAGAGAAAGGAAAAAAAGAAGGAGAAGGAGGGAGCGGTGATATCGACATTTAAGAGGTTACGGAAGGTCTAACATCTTAACGTGATCCTCAATGAGAGTGGAAGTCAGTGAGGGGGCAAAAGTCAGTGAACGGATGATCACATGAAAAATGATGGGTTTAAGTGGTGGCAAGAAAGATCTCCTCCTTTTTTTTCGAGGGGGGGGGGGCATGCATTGCAGACGATGATAAGAGGAGGAAGGAAAGCATAAGGAAATAACAGACAAATTGACGACCGATGACAAAGCTGGGTTTCAGGAGATACCGGGGGGGGGAGTACACAAAATGGAAAAAGGTATGGGGATGAGTAGCAGTAATAGTGGGGGTGGGGGGGGGGGACGCGCTTAAGCGGGAGAGAGAGAGAGAGAGAGAGAGAGAGAGAGAGAGAGAGAGAGAGAACACACACACATACATACACACAGGCACACACACGAACACACAGAAAACACGAGTACACAGAAAACACAAACACACAGAAATTACTCACACACAAAAACATACACACACAAGCCCTATACTCACGCATAAAGCACCCCGACATAACCAAGGCCACATGGGAAACAGAGACATCTAAACAGTTCACAGTACTCATCTATAGAGATATAATAATCCAGACACTTCACAATTCCTCGTCTACACTTTACTACAAATCTAAACACAGACGTCTGAACATAATCCAAGCGTTCAACAAAGCACCAATGTCAATGACGTCATTTCTTTCTTTTACTCATCAGAGGCATGGATCAATGTGCAGCAGCAACGCAACACACAGATGAATATTCACGCAGCTTTGTCTGGTAGGGCACGCTACTAGGATTGAAACTGATTCTGACGTCACGTCATTTTCCTGTCTGGCACGAAGGATCGAGGGAGGGAGAGAGGGGGGGGAGAAAGAGAGAGAACGGGAGAGAGAGAGAGAGAGAGAGAGAGAGAGAGAGAGAGAGAGAGGCAGAGAGAGGGGGGATGTTGAGAGAGAGAGAGAGAAGGGAGGCAGAGGAAGAGGCAGAGATGACAGAGAGAGAGAGAGAGGAGAGAAGGAAGAGAGAAGGGAGAGAGAGGGGGA